ATTTACTGATGCAGAATTATCATCATTGATTGATTGAGAATATAGTTTTTCTGTAATATTCTTTGATTACTAATATAAATATTTTCTTCTATCAACCTTCTCTTCCCTCTTTTTCTTTTATTTATATTTGATAATCAAAAGTGCCCTTTTTTTAATTGATATAACGATCGTGATATAAATAAAACTCTGAATTTAAATATTAAAACATAGATTTTATATTATATGATGACAACAATCCTCTAAAAGTAAATAGAGTTTTATAATGTACAACTACACACCTTCTTTATAATCTTTATCAAAATAATATAATTATATGGGACAACGTTTGTTGCACAATATGTAAATTTGGTTGTCTTTTGTTGGTCAAAAACTTCAAACACTCTTTATGTGATTACGATAGCTAATGGTTTTTACAGTTATAGAAACCCGCCATTTTTTTCACAATAGTGATATTTATTAAGTGTTCGCTCTCTCAAAATTAAATTAACAATCTAACGAATAAAAATATTTTACTCATGTTCACTTTAAAAGCCTTGACTGTAAGGTAAAAGAGCTAGTCGCTTTATTGAAAATGTCTCTAATAATTTATAAATAATTATTTACAAACTATAAAAAACTTTCATTACAACAATAAAATCACAAACACAAACAAAACTCGAAAATGAATTATAATTATGTCCAAATCTGTAGGGTCATTGTCGAGGATCTTTATCATTATTTGTTTTGTTGGGGATTTTTTTTGCTCGTTGATTGTGGTTTTTGGGGTCAGATTGAATTCATCTTTTTGTTTCGAAAATTTGAATGAATATCATTTACTATTAATAAATAAGATAACACACGTTATCATATAAATTAGGAATAAATACGGACACGGGTAATTTATTATCGCCAGTTTTCTTGGAAGCATAAAGGTCATTCGTATTTGTAGGCACTCCATGTTATTATTATCGCACAAACTGAAATCAACAAATGCCCTTTTTTTTAAGATCTCGTGATTTAATAAAATTTTTAATTTTACGAATAAAAATAGATCAGATTTTGTATAAATAGGATGTCGTTTTCCTTCTCTTCTCTCGCTTGTAAATAATTTTAATAAGAAAATTTACATAAATATGAATAAAACTTATTTTAAACTATTTGCTATTATTTTCGTAATCATTTGCCAAATAGTTATAAATCACAACGTAAACTCATGTCCAATCGGGTATTGCGATCATGAATGTAAGTGTCATTCTTTTATCTTTATCATCATATCATCGTTATCACGACAATTTTGTTGACGAAACTTATCGTCTCTTTTTAGTTTGTTGTGGAGGGGATATAGATGATGATTACGAATCTATAGATCATCGTGATGCGTCTTATTATGATGATCATGAATCTACATATTATCGTGATGCTTCTTATGGTGATGAATATGATACTACTTTTGTGACTTCCGATGATACTACCTTTGCGATTTCTAACAGGTAAAAATAATGAAATATTTACAAAATTAATTATAATCAATGATAATAATAATTGTAATAATATTATATAGGTTATTCGATAATAAATGCGAAGTCGACAGTTGGTTCAATTGGATATTTAGAAGTCGATCATTTAAACAATTTTGGGATTTTGATTGTAAATAATCCATCGCCAGCATTATAATATGAGATTTTTTTAATTAAGATTTTTTTCTATAAAATATAAATTTATGTAAATTTAAATAAACATACATATATGCAATATGATTTTAATAAAAATATTTAAATTAGTTTTAAACCTCAAAAGTCACGAGACAGTTATAATAAAGAGTAATAAAAAATAAAAAAGTGTTTATTATAAAAACTTTATG